ATTTATTGACACTTATATTCAGCAAGTTCTCAGTTGCAGTTGCATCGAACCTTTAGTTGTCGTATAAGTATTCTTCTATTGCCAGAAAACAAAAGAAAAATAGGCTTCAATGGAAAAATAGTAAAACTACTCTCAGATTTAATGACATCTACATTTTTACAGAGATTAAACCGTGTTCACAGATGAAGATACCACGTATTTCTATAAAGACATGCCGTTTCTATCTGATCTAGCAAAGGTAACAGAATGGTTGTATTTATGTGGCGCCAGTGGAGTTACAAACGAAAAATTACGAAACGCCGGAATCACTGAAATAATAAACTGTACTCTAGATGTTCCGAATGTTCACTTAACGGGAATAAAGACGACACGAATAGAAATCGCCGCATGCTCCGTTGCAAAAATATTTTGAAAATGTGGCAGACCATATTGATTCTGTAAGGTCTAATGGCGGGAAAGTTCTTGTTCATTGTGTGACTGGGGTCAGTAGGTCAGTGACACTGCGTAGAGCTTACTTCAAGAAAAGGCCGATCATATGACCAAACATGGGATTTTGGAAACAGTTGATCGAATACGAGAAGATTTTACATGGAAAGAATACGGTGGAAATAGTACCCTCACCTATTGGTTTCATTCCGGATATTTATCAGGATCAAACGAGAATCGTGCTGGCGCTCTAATAACTGATACGCAAATGGTCATGGTGCATATGGGAATAATAAATTCATATTGTGTTATGCACATATTTTGAGAAGTTAATGAGCGAAGACAGACTATTCTCTTTTTAAAAAGAAATGTTGCAAGAAAATGGGAAATAGAAACGGTAATCCGAATTTTTATTTTTATATTTTGAAAGCACACTACACATCCTATCTTCTCATATATATTTTTTTCATCTATCGTTTAATTGTATATCTATTTTTAAACAAAAGTTGTTTTTCTATGTATAATCTTCTACAAAATCGAACAATTTTCCCCAACCTGTGAAAAAAGTAATAACGAAATAGTTTGTTTTTAGATGTGTCAAAATAAATTGGGCTGCCGTACTTGAGTCAGACAAGCTTTTTAAAATAATTAAACTTGTCGGTGTATCGAACTTCCGGCAAAATTCCTCTTAGGTAGCATCGTCAGGAGACAAAAGGAGGTACACAAAAGAGTTCTTCAAGAACGATAACTCTATGAAAATATTGGCCTTGAACCAATAAATATACCACGTGCATTACCTGCAACAGGTAATATTTTTTCGGCGATCGGTACTGAGGTAGGCCAGTAATAATTTGTTGAAAATATAATTTGATAATGATCTTAAACCGATATATTACAAATTTAAATACATTTTATAGGATTCATATTTTAAAAGGGTTAATTTCAGATTTATTTATTGGCGAAATGAAACGAAGGTAACGTTATTGATCATTCTCGGTAAATTTATTTTTCTTCTATCGAAACCTGTATTTACCATTTAAATTTAAATGTATAAACATAATTAAAGAAATATTATATGATTATTTTTGGGTTAAAACGTCTAACTATCTCCAAAACACGTTTTTGGTGAAAAATGAATAGTTATTATCTCCCTTGCAACTATAGTCTCACCAGCGTATGACCGTTAATGTTATTATTATTAGTGTATGATACTGCTAGGAATTTCATATAAAACCCCTTAATCTGAAGTTAATATGATATTATGTCAATTGAAATATTTTTTCCCATTTTTTTTATCACTTATTTTTTGGGAAATGAAGGGTTTTGTGAAAAGGTGGGGTGGGGGGGGGGGGGCTGTTAGTTGTACTTATGTGGGTCATATAAATTATGAAAGGGTTACAATGTGCCTCTTAAAAGACATTTGGAGTTGAACAGAACAGGTAAAGACGATAATTAACAGATCAACCATAAATGTTGCTGAAAATGAGAGGGGGGAGCACCCTAATGTCCCCTTGAAATCCATTGTAAGGGGCCATCTGGGACTATTATACTAGAGGTTCGTTATAGGGGTATGTTATAAATGGTGTATGACAATAAAATATACACTTTTTTTTTAGACGAAACAAAAATTGACTGATTTTTACAAATCGTGATATATTTTTTCCAAAAATAACAGTAACCATAATTATTTTATACCTCTGACGAATCATGATTAGGATATTTTTACAAATCATGGTAATTTGATACTAGCGGTAGCTAAAAGTGACTATTTGACGCCTCACAGTAATTGGCATTGCTATCCTTATACTAGCAGTCCCAAGTATAATAGTCCCAGGAGCTATGTAGTCCTGTTGTCTAATATTATGAAAACAAAATATGAGGTAGATGTCAATGAGATAGTACTTAATCAATGAAACATGTATTAAAAAAAACCATGGCAAAGTGCTTTTTTAGTATTTTATATCAATCAACATTTAAAGGAAAGACACATTTAAAATAATAATTTCAACCTAAAAGTAAAAATATTTATATTTTCAGTTCCAACATTTATTATAAGTGATAATATGATACTTTGACAGTCAGTTTTGGATAATTTTCAACCAATCAATGAAACATGTATTAAAAAAAACCATGTCAAAGTGCTTTTCTAAAAGCAAAAAACTCTTTGGCGATTTTTTAAATGGTGGCAAATATTCAAACACCTCAGAAGAAATGATCCTAACTTCAAAATCATGTCCAGCCAACAACATAACTTTAGAAAGACTAATGGCTCAGATAGATCGGCAAAAGACCATTGCTCCAAACACCAGCATTTCCACAATAAATTCAAAATTAATGTTTAAAAATAATGGGACTGCAGATTGGTTGAAGGAAAAAACGGAGGAACAGAAAAATACTCTCATAGTTAAATGCAGACAAATGGGTGAAGAAAAAAGACAAAGAGACATCAGAGATTTCATTAAAATCTATAATGAAAAATCAACAATTATTGAAGCCAGAATAAAAGAAAAGGAACTAAAGGAAGCCAAAATTCAAGCTGAAAAGGAAAAAATTATTTTGGAAATCAACAATTTAGGCGGAAAATGGACAAAATTAAACCAAATTTATTCTTTTATTTCAACTTGCAAAACCAAGAAGCTTAAAATAAATGCCATTAAAGCACAAATAACGTATCGCAAAGAAATAGAAATCCAAAAAGTTGATACCAATTCAAAACATCTTTTTAAAAAGTCTCTTGACCTTCCTGAGCTAACAGAAAATTTAAAAAAATTAATACAGCTGGAACAATCTTCTTCTGAAAACATAGAAGAACATGTAGAAGACATGGAAACCAATGCTTCGACAATTGCCAATGATAACCATGACAACGACTTACCAATGAGTATTGCAAGCGATAGCAACAACAATGTCACATGTATTATGGAAACGTCCATACATGAAGTGCAAAATGACAACCTTCCGACAAACTATGTAGGCAAACATATACTTCATATATGGGATGAAGGAAGCAACAAACTAACGGAATATGACGGAAAACTTTTAGATTATAACAGCTCAACAATGACATTTAGGGTAATTTCCTGCTTCTTGAATACCCTCAAGCGCATGTATTCATCAGCAATGTACTATGCACAATAATATTCCACACAAATTATTTAATGTCTTCACACTCATATTGTATTCCATAAAACTAAATCATTTAACAGTTATAATGTTGGATTTAAAATGACTATGCTTACCCTCAACATGCCATTAGGATATAATCCTAATAATTTTTATTGTCACCATAACAATACATGTGATTTAATTTGAATTCACCAAAAATTAAATAGGAAATTAAATCATAAAACCAGATTCGGTTGGTTATGATTTATACTGCAGTCATTTTTTAACACATTTTATTACCATGATGAATAATTATTTTCCTTACTCCTAATAGATAAACACATAATTTTGAATTGATGCTTCACTAGTTATACTAATTGCAAGAGAATATTACTATTTTCCAAGCCTAAGTTGTATATCATAATAAGTTAAACATTAATTAGTAGTGAAAAAATTGTAACTTTAATGTTAAACTGAAGAAACACCCTGAAAAGTAGCTCATATGTATAGAAATGAGAGTTGTGCATGATTACCAATGAGTCAACTCTCCACCAAAGACCAAACAGAAGTTGCTGATGGAATGTTCTTTATTTCAATTACTATGCTTTTACATAGGTTCCACTTAGAACTACTAGTAATATTTTAACAGATTTTCAATTATGTTTCAAGCAAAAACAAAAATTCAATATTTCAAAAATAATTGAGAATGGAAACAAGGAATTTGTCATAGAGACATCAAAGATCAGAAAACAGCACAAGGCCACCAGTGGGTTTTCAACGCATTCACAAAATCATGCACCCAGAGGCTGGCTTCAGCTGGCCCTAGATAATAAGGTACAATGTATACTTCAATGGTGAAACAAATGATTATATATCTACAAATAGGTCTTAAAGATCTTGAAATAATTTACGCATAAGTGACAATTTGCATTATTGGTTCTTTTGTTATATAGACAAATAGAGTTGAAAACCTTGTTTGTCATTTTAGCTTTTTATTCATTACAGGTTGCATATTGGAACAGCAAAAAAGGACACAAATTCCATAAAAGACTACGAAAATATGACCTTACACTGCAAGAATTTGAAGATGATTTGAAGAGTGGAGATCTAAAAAATAATGTAGGTCAATGTGTTTTTATAAGATAGATTAATTTAAAAAAAGAGTTCACTCGATACATTTATGCTCTTCATTAAAAAAAGGATGTTTTGACATATTTTACTCAAAGTAAACTAGTTTTATCAAAACTTACTAATACTTCTAAATTTAAATTTTAATTACAATGAATAACAAAATTGCACAGAATTAGGGTGAACCTATATAATCTATCCAAATTAGATAAAAAAAAAATCAGTTCTTGTAATTGTCAAATGATAAAAAAAAAATTTTAATTATAGTTTACAAAACTATTTACTATAATTGTAACCTACCATTCATAGTTGATTTTATATATTCTTATTTTCAGAAACTAAATTCAAGAAACAGACTATAGAAGAAAAGTGCCATTTCATTACATGTGAGCAACAAAAATAAACTTGAGTTACCTCTCTTTGATTAAACACTTTTAATGGAAAATGCCTATCTTATCAGATTTTGAAAAGGTTAATACTTGATTTAAAATTGCCAACCAATGAAATTGCTAGGTGTTTTTAGACAGGTGAAGGTCATCAGATATTGAATTTTTAAAGGAAACACATAGGTATTGGACTTGGATTTTTTTCCTAACATAGCTATCTTAGGCGAGAGGACAGGAGGTTTGTTTGTTTTAATTGTTTTTAATCTAAATGTTTAAAATCTTTCATAAAAGTAAAAGAGTCTCATAAGCCACTCTCCCTGTATCGACGATAATATGCATGCATTTGAGATTTATTACTCTTCTTATATGTATAATATAGTGTTGCAAAAATTGTTATGAATTACAGATTAAAATAGATCTGTTTTACTTAACAAATGAGTATTATATAATAAGCATTGGAGTGAATGAAAGATCGAACCTTTGTGTCTTTGTGATATCGTAAAAAGCTATTTATAGTATATGTAGACCAAAGTATAGACAGCCGTTTGGAACATAATTTCTGTAAATGGTTAGCACACTGGAAACGACAGTTCGTATTAACATTCAGGATTACAACCTTTAATTTTTTAAATATACTTTTCATATTTTTAATCTGACTATATATTTTTCTGTCACATTAAACTTCTCTAGCGTTAGAGAGCAAATCAGGGTTCCCCTGGTGGACATTGGGAAAAATCTTCAAAATTGTGTTGGTCCTTTGTAACATTTTAGTTGTCAAATCCTTTGTACCACCAATTTTCGCGAACTCTGGCAAATATTGAAAATTTGAATATGAAAATATTGATACGCACATATGTCATTTGGATGTTGATTTTATTAAAATGTTAAATGATTTATTGTTGATTGCCTTAATTACGTCCATATCAATATGATAAAGAATCAGCTAACGGGATAGGCGAGAAACAGTTTCACACTATTGTGAAACGATTAAAAAAGAAAACCCTAACGGGCTGATTAATGCTAACAAGTTTAAACGAGACACAATCATGACGGACGACAACCAACTACAGCCAATTGATTACAAGCCCTGGTAAAACGTGTTTGTGAGTGCACACAATGAAACAATGAAAATAACACTTTATACGTTTTGAGCGCCGAAAGCGCTTTTCTGGATTCACTTGCATCCGGTAAGATTAAACTTAAACATTTGACAGCCTGTGATGTAAAAAATAACATAGACACATTGGGAATTATATGACCAAAAGGGGTCTGAAAAGAATAGCCAAACTCACCAAAGGTCAAATTGCCTAAGGGAGAAGGCACCTTACTTTCAGTCTCGCCTGCGATGAAAATCTGAAAGCGAGACATGGCGATTGCTTTTCCGGCGACTTCGACGGCTGCGGCGACGGTGTCAACAATTGTTAAGCTTTCTTCTTAAGTTAGTTTGATAGAAACTATTTTTGATAGATCATTGATATTAAATATGAAGTTGCATTTCTATCGGTATATATCAGTTTGACGACTATTTTGAGGCCCTGCCCCCTAGGTCATTGTTCAGCGACTTTGCAATTTATTAGGAATTTTCAATGTGAAGTTTTCTTCTTAAGTTAGTTTGATAGAATCTACTTGTGATAGCGCGATGATATTTTGTAGGAAATCGCATTACTATCTGTACATATCAGTTTGACGAGTATTTTGAGGCCCTGCCCCCTAGGTCATGGTCCAGTGACCTTGAATTAATTAATTAGCAATATTCCACGTTAAGTTTTCTGCTTAAGTCGGTTTGATAAGACCTACTTGTGATAGAACAATGATATTTTGTAAAGTTGCTTTACTATCAGTACATATCAATCTGATGATTAACTCCAGGCCCTGCCCACTAGATATTGGTCCAGTGACTAAATTGATAAACCATGTTGCTATCTATCAGATTGTCTTTTTCTGAATATAATGCCGTCAGCCGAGACATATCTCTGTGTCAACAGTTTATGAAATAATTTTTAAATTTATCAACGGTGAATTTTCGAAATGTATGTTATAAATCATATAAGTACCGATGAATTGACTTAATGATTTCTTTACCTCGGACAGTGGTGTTATAGCACAACATTTGACAGCCTGCGATGTAAAAAAAACATAGACACATTAGGAATTATATGACCAAAAGGGGTCTGAAAAGAATAGCCAAACTCACCAAAGGTCAAAGTGCCTAAGGGAGAAGGCACCTTACTTTCAGTCTCGCCTGCGATGAAAATCTGAAAGCGAGACATAGTGATTGCTTTTCCAGCGACTTCGACGGCTGCGGCGACGGTGTCAACAATTGTTAAGCTTTCTGCTTAAGTTAGTTTGATAGAAACTATTTGTGATAGATCATTGATATTAAATATGAAGTTGCATTTCTATCGGTACATATCAGTTTGACTACTATTTTGAGGCCCTCCCCCTAGGTCATTGTTCAGCAACTTTGCAATTTATTAGGAATTTTCAATGTGAAGGACTCTTCTTAAGTTAGTTTGATAGAATCTACTTGTGATAGCTCGATGAAATTTTGTAGGAAATCGCATTACTATCTGTACATATCAGTTTGACGACTATTTTGAGGCCCTGCCCCCTAGGTCATGGTCCAGTGACCTTGAATAAATTAGCAATATTCAATGTTAAGTTTTCTGCTTAAGTCGGTTTGATAACACCTACCTGTGATAGAGCAATGATATTTTGTAAAGTTGCTTTACTATCAGTACATATCAATCTGATGATTAACTTCAGGCCCTGCCCATTAGATATTGGTCCAGTGACTAAATTGATGAACCATGTTGCTATCTATCAGATTGTCTTTTTCTGAATATTATGCCGACAGCCGAGACATATCTCTGTGTCAACAGTTTATGAAATAATTTTTAAATTTATCAACGGTGAATTTTCGAAATGTATGTTATAAATCATTTAAGAACCGAAGAATTGACTTAATGATTTCTTTACCTGGGACAGTGGTGTTATAGCACAACATTAGAACTGCAGCACATTCATGCTATTGATTGCTCTTAGGTTTTATAATAATAAATTATTTGATTAAAGAGGGACACTTAAAAAGAATAAGCCTTACTTTCACTGAGGCCCTCAAAGACAATTCATGCATATAGAACACACGAAACAACAAACTACTACATATATAAGCAAAAGACTACAATGAAATATTAAAAAGTTATATCAAGAGCTATCCAGCAAATAAAAAAAGTTTATCTATTATTTAAAAAATAATATTCAGCCACTCGATTATTTTTTTTAACTTTTATATCGAAGATTGTATAGTATTTTGTAAAGATTGAACCAGCGGTTATAAGTTTTAGGCACCATCACACCTCAGGCCATGATGACATTGGATGACCTAATAATATGGTAAATAATAAGATATGTTGATACATGTATATTCAAATTTTATTGTCCCACTCGTCCGTTATATATAGCATTCTTAAAAGTTTGAATATTTAATACTAGAAGTAGGCGTTTACATAGCATGATAAATGTTTTATTTTATTCATCGTGAATTCAGCTATAATATTTGAATATGTTAAGTTTTTTCTTGTTTTAGAAACATCAATGGCTACCAATTCAGCTTTCTGTAATATCTGTGAATTGAGACATCTTTCAAATCTGTCAACTCATTGGTGTCCTGAATGTGAACAGTCACTTTGTTCCGAATGCAGGGAACATCATGGTGTTGTAAAAATAATACGTAATCATCAGCTAATACCAATCGAAGATTACCAGAAATTACCTACCTTTATATCTGAACTTCGTCAGAGTTGTCAAGATCATAACGAAAATTACCAGTTATACTGTCCAACTCACGAAATCTGTATTTGCTACAAATGTATAAAATGTCATGGGAAATGTGGAGCAGTTCCGCTAGATGATGTGTTGAAAGATATCAAAACCTCCGAAATGTATAAGGACTTAGAACAAATTATTACTGATATGCTAGAAAATATTAATGAAATCAAAAATGACCGACAGGTCAACATATCAGACATCGAAACAGAAAAGGAGAAACAACTGGAAGAGATCCGTCAAATGAGATTATTAGTCAATAATCACCTTGACAAGCTAGAAGAAAAGTTAAAAATTGAGATTGAAGAAACAGTCAGAAAAACTACTGAGAAGATCAGAAAGACTATAGTATTAGTTCACGAAACTGAGCAGAAGATATCTAAGAATATATCAGACCTAATTGATATTCGGAGTTACGCGTCAGAACTTCAAACTTTTCTTGGAATGAAAGAAATGCAAAATAGAATAACAGAAAATGAAAAAAGTATGCAGTCATTACTTGACGATGGTTTTTTACAGCAGATGGTAATAAAATCTGCAATTGATACAAATATAGGTAACTACTTGTCTGAAATAAAGGTATTCGGTTCTGTAGAGATTCTTACAAAACAAGAGAGATTGTATCTCAGAAAGAGGAAAAACAAACAAGCACAACTCTTAGCAGTACAGAAACCAAAATCTATTCAAGACATTTCATTGAACCGAATACAAACAATGACATCCGATGGTGGTGCCATACGAGGTTGCTGTGTCACACCAGAGAATAATTTGCTTTTAACACTTCACTCAAAAAGAAAACTAAGTCTAATGGATTTTCATGGGTCCTGTTTAGCCTCTTTTCCAATTGAATACGGTGACGCATACGATGTTACATGTCTCGACAATAACAATGTTGCTGTCACTTCAGGTAATTCTAGGTGCTGTGGAATAAATATTATACATTTACCTTCTAAGATAAGAGTAGAGTTTATCAATCTACCAGGACAACCGTACAGCATAGCGAGTAATGATAAAAAGATGTTCTGTGTTGTACATAACATGGGTATATATCAAATTGATAAAAAAGATTATAAAACATCAATTTTTATTAAAGGGGAATTACCTTATCAATCATTTGTAGTCACTTATAGAGACAAAATATGTTATTCGAATGATAAAAGCTCTGTCATGTGTACCAACTTTTCAGGAGAAACGCTTTGGGAATTCAATTATAAAAGTGTTCTGCAGCAGCCACGTGGTGGTGCATTTGACAATTTTGGAAACCTGTATATAACTGGAGAGTCATCGTATAACGTTGTAGTCCTGTCAAGTGACGGTAAACAGCATAGAGAAATCCTTTCGAGGTCGGACGGTCTACAAGGACCATCAGCAATATTCTTTGACAAAGATGAAAATAGGTTGATCGTCTCCAACGGTAACACTAAAATCTTAATTTTCAATGTTTCTCAACAAAACTAAAATTCTGACATCGTTAAATGTTTGGGATAACTAAACATGATATTATTGTCACAGTCTTGGAATCATTGACGAAGCAATTTAATAAAAATCTTAGTAGAACTCTGTACTCATGACTGGTTCTGACGTAAAACATACATTAAAATACAAAACAAACGTGTATTACTTAAAACACAATGGATCAAAAGAATCCGAATTGATTTTAAAGAAACAATAAAACTTCTTAATTTCAAAATTTGTGTAAAAAAACATCTTTCTACTTTTATATTGTATGTAAACATCATAGAGAAATTATGAGTGTCAATTTAAAGTTTTTATGAAGTTTATAATCAGTGACTTGAGTCGGATGTTGCACTTCACTGAACATGGAAATGTGAGCGGGACATAGTGTCCTGTGGTTGTTAATTCTTCAATCTTATTAAAAGCATATTTTCCAATCTGCTACACGTTAGACTTGTTTGCTGCGATGTGAATAAGCTGCAACAAATAAATCTAACGGAGCACACTGTATGAAAAATCTGATTTTAATCAGAGTGCATATTCTTGCTCTACTAATATCTACATGATGAAAAAACGATGGTTTTTACTTAGGACTGACCTCCACATAACTTGTTTGTATGAGTATCAAGAACTGCCTTGGATGTCTATGTTGTTTTCCTTTCCGAACAAAACAACGAGTTTGTAAACAACATTATAAAACTGAGGAGGTGTAGTATGATCGCCAATTAGACAACTATCCACCGGAGTTCAAATGAAGTTAATGTTAGCAATTATAGGCAACCGTGCGGCCATCAACAATTAGAAAAACCTATATCGTATAGTCGACCATTAAAGCCTAAAGCCCCCCCCCCCCCCCCCCCCCCCCCCCCGACATGAAAAATGCAAAACGATTCAAACGAGAAAATCAACGGCCTAATTTATAACAAAACAATATACGAAAAACAAATGTGACCATAATGAACCAACAACAACCACTGTACTACAGGCTCCCCTGACTTGGGACAGGCACATGAAGAATGTGACGGAGTTAAACATGTTTGTGGGCGCTCAACCCTGTGCTTAACCTGGGAAAGTGATGTAACAGCACAACAGAAGAAAAACCTGTAAAAATCAATAGCAATTGTTAATTCGGCAAAAGATCGGTACAATGCGCAAAACCAACTAACATAAAAACAATAGAAACAAGCACAGAGATAAGAGTACTTGTTGTTACTGAAAGCTAGTTCAAAGCGAAGTACAACTAATAAAAAATTCATGTTTCCCAGTCTAAAGCATCAAACAGTACAGAACCAACGGACTTAGTGTGATGAAGTCATAAACAGTCTGAGAAACGCATGACCTTGTGCAATGCCACAATATTACTAGTAGTTAACAGTACAGGCCCGTTTATACAACGGCCATTTAACGTTTGGTGAACTTAAGAGTTTGCGAAAAAAGAAAGAAAACAAACCATCTAAATTAGAACCTAGTTTACATAATATTATGAAACCCTACCAATTTGCATGAACTGATATTTTTTTTTTACATTGTCAGTTAATTTTTATATCTATTGAGTTTGACGGAATCTGTACTGCATCTTCACATACAGGAATTAAGCAGATCGAATCCAGGTTGCCGTAATAATTTTCACCAAGTCATACGAGAATCATATTAACACCTACCATCCACTTTTGTTCAATATTGCATACTTCGTGTATTCAGAGAAATTATTTATAACAGTTATAATTCAAAGAGAAAGCAATAGCTCTCACTGATGAGACCAAGCTCTAGAATGTTAAAAAAAAACGAAAAGTTTTGTTAGAAATGTGACTCCAACGTACAAACTCAGTGCAAGTTGAAATGTTACTGTATCTAGAGATTACTATTATTCAGATGTTATTTAGTCATTTAAACCAAACACAACTGAGCATAAACAGAAGTAACGCTGGTCCATATTTCATAAATGCAGACCTCCTAATCAGATGAATCTGATTTTATATAATTTTTCGTTTGATAGTGCTGATAAATATAGGGTTATAACGTATGTTATTTTTAAAAAGATAACTGTGAGTCAAGTCTGGTCTGCCCCCCTTTTATGAGTTGCCAAAACTATTATATAATTCCCTACCAAGTTGCAAACATCTCTATACTCAAATACTTTGAAAAGCACTTTATGCTCCTATTAACCATATGATGTTTTTTTGTTGTGAAGTGAAGGTGCTTGAGTAACATCAAATTCATTAAAAAAAAAATCCTAGGGATTCATTTTAAAACCTCAAATGATGCGAGTATAGAAAAACTAGCCAGATTTCCCCCGAGAAACACAATCTATTATGTCCTTTATTAAATATTAGACCATTTGGTTAGATCTGAACATACCTTAGCCCATGCTTTACATGAAGCAATCTGGAAAGAAAACCCTTGTAATATTGATTCGTGTCTTCAAAAGATTGAGTTTCTCTCTTTGACCCAAGATTCATTTTTAACAAAATACACCAGCACATTATAGATCAAAACCAATAAGAGCGTGATTAAAAAAAGAAATATTCTGAAAATGCTGAGATGTGTTCTTAATATTTCGAGGATAGTGGAACGTACACCTTATGTTGATCAGCTTACTATGAAATTTGGTCTAACTTCCATTCTCAATTTTATTATATAGCTTCATGGAGAGAGACTAAGCGTTCATAACCTCGAAATCAATAGAGGAAGATACATAGATATAAGAAGATGTGGTATGAGTGCCAATGAGACAACTCTTCATCCAAGTCACAATTTGTAAAAGTATATATAACAAAATTGCCATTTTAAACTGATAAATATTTTGTAAAGTATGTATGCAAGTTAAAAATGGAGACGAAAAACACTTCATGTTGCATTGTCAGAATTATAAAAATGAAAGAGAAACACTCGAGATAATAGCAGCCAAAATTTAATTAAAACTATAAATGATGATACTATTATTAAAATCAAAATTATCATTCAATAGTGGGAATACAAGATGTGTTCTGCATGCTTAAAGTTTTTGATCATATTTCTAAAGTTAGAAATGATGATTAACAGAAATATTAATTATATATTTAATGACTATTCTTGTCTACAACCTATTGATATAATAGTTGTCGGTCATATGTTGTATTTTAATGCAATGTACTTTGTATCAAGCCTTTACCGATTTTAACCATTATTACCGGACTAAAATGTATACTATCTGGATATTTTCCACTTGGAATGAATTTCTATTGACACACTTAATGTTTTGATCGGCTTTCCTATATACTATGATCTACTATGTAACGTGACGAAGATAAAAGGTAAGATTTAAAAATTTATATTTATTGAAGTTTTACTTAGTTCTTATAGAATTATGAACCGTTTGGTGCTTACAGGTTAAGCAGTTCAGTAACGTTTGCTTATTTAAATTTTCTTTGATTATGTTACTGTTAAAGATCGGGTTATTGCGGTGTTGTACATAATATATAACTTCAACTAAAAAAAATTTCAGTATTAAACGAAACATTGTAATGAAAATTTGGAAATTATTAGCGTGTAACCTGTTGTAATGATTATATCTGGGCTCGCGTATCTGATATGAAGTGAAAATAGTTGACTTTCTTATTTTTAAATTGTTCATATGTATCCATTGTTTATGAGAATACATTTATTTATCAATTAATTTTGCTGTGTCCAGTTTTCATATTAGAAAATCTATTTCAGAACCCGTTAGGTTTTTTTTAAGACAAAGTTGAACAATGAACTTCAAAACCACAGTACAAGTATATACAAGTCAACATTACTCGTATAATATTTATAGAAAAAATATTGTAAAAATAAGAAAAGCAACATTTTTCATAGAGACGTGTTTTCACAACCTAGTGGTCTTTTTTTAAATAAGTTATTGGGATGTAAAAAAAGTATATCTAAAATATCCAACTCCCCAAAAAATAAAAAATAAATGTTTCTACAACTTATGATAGTTGTTTCTACAACTCATAGAATCGATATCAAAAACTGACAAAATCAAACGTTAGACCTTATCAACCAACGAAAGGAATGGAAACATGCTAACGCTCGGGATAAAATTTCGAAGATAACGGCTCAGGCCATGTTAAAATTTCCAACAAATCTATGGCTTGCATGAATTATTTCTTCAAATTATTTGATACCGGATCGTCTAAAATTGACGATACTGTACAAACATGAAAATAATTCTAAAATTTGTGAAACGATCCTTATAAAAAATTATAAACACATACAAACGAAATGAAATGAATCGTATTAACAAATATTTCGGAACAACAAATAACTTCGGCGCGGTTTTCAAAATGCAACAATGCAACATGGGTTCTTAGTGTGTCGATACAGGCTCACTCGTACAGGTTACCTTTGTATTTTGTAACTCTAAATTTTATAGGCGTGAATGCGAAGTTAGATGTCCCAAAGTGTCAAAAGGTGCATGCAAATATATGAGAAAACAACCACCTATCATATGACCGGTACCATGTGTATGTACTGAACAGTAACTGTTTCTACAACTTATGATTTCCCCTTATTGAATTGAAATAAGATGTCAAAATTTTCTTCTTTTTGGTGACCATATTCTGCCAAGTATTACAGATTTAATGTTTGTTTATGTATGGATATCTTCTTTGATTAAATTTTTATTAAATTTAGTACCAGGTCTTGTGCATTACTCTTGGCATAAAGAATATTTATACAAAGTCAGAACCGTATGATGGAAATTTGCTGTTCCCACGATATTTTTTTTCCAGATCACACGTAGCTTTTATAATCCTCTCTATCTACCTGGCATGGCAAAATTGTCCTTGTGTTCATGAGTTAAGTTAAACTTTATTGACACTTATATTAGACCTTTAGTCATTCGTAGTATTCTTCTATTACCAGAAAACAAAAAGTATGTTTTAATGGAATAATTGTAAAACTGCACTCAGATTTAATGACATCTTTATTTTTTTTACAGAGATTAAACCGTGTTCACAGATGAAAATACCACGTATTTCTATTAAGTCATGCCATTTCTATCTGACCTTGCAAATATAACAGAATGGTTGTATTTATGTGGCGCCAGTGGAGTTACAAACGAAAAATTACGAAACGCCGGAATCACTGAAATAATAAACTGTACTCTAGATGTTCCAAATGTTGACTTACAGGGAATAAAGACGACACGA